GAGGGTGCTTGCTGAAAACGGCTAGTTAAGTGTACTGCCAGAAATTTGCTCTTCCTACCAGCGACTTAACCAACATGTTCTGTAAAAACCAGTACTGCGAGCAACGTAAATGAGACACACCACTGGCTTCAAAAGAACAATTGTAAGGTCAATAAATAAAACAGCATTTTCAAAAGGAGATCCTTGCAATAAACTACAAGCTTCAAAATAGGGCAAAAAATTGTAAAGTAATTGGAGACCACCATGGTCACTTCTTGGTGGTCTGAAGCAGCTGAAATCCAAACATCACATCAGATACAGAACAACTACCACTTAGCTGTAGCTACACACCACAAGCATAAAAGCTGGTGCTAAAATGACTAATTTGCAGATTAAATTGAACTATAATTGACTCTTGTTGGCATGGCAAGCCAAGCTAAGCCAACATGTTTTCCCTTATTGGTTTTATTTCTGCATTTGTACAAAATTCTAGAACTTAATATAAAGAGCCACAATCTTTAATTTGGGTATTTTGTTTTATGAATGCATTTTAAACTGAAAAAGAAAGAGAGAGTGTGAAATTCCAAATCTCTAAACATGATTATACAAACTAATAAATAATTTATTGGATGTTATTTAAAGCAGTATTTATATATAACTTTTGGGCAATTTGCAAATTTCTAAGGATAAAAAGTGAAGCCATGACCATAAGAAAGACTCAGAGTAAAATCAGTTTAGTCATAGATGGTTACTAGCCAACAAGGCATTTCACAGGAGTGTTATAAAGCAAACGTTTTAAATCAAACTACATATGGAGATATTAGGGCAGATGGCCAAAAGTTTTAAAAGGAATGCCTTAAAAAGGATTAGAGATTTAGGGAGGGAATTCAAGGGCCTGCAGTTGAGGTAATAGTTACCATGAAATGCACAGCAGGTCAGAATTAAAGGAGTGCACTAAAATAGTCAAGCCCTCGAGGTAACAAAGTAATGAATGAGGATTTTAACAGCCGACAGAAAAAAGCCGATATACGGATATGGAAGGAGACAGACAGACAGACAGACAGAGTCTTAGTGAAGGTACGGATACAAGATCGGAAGTCACACTGAAGTTAAGCATGACACTAAGTTTATTAATTGCTCGAGGTTGAACATGACTGTTGCCAGGGTTTCACGTTGGATTCAGTAGCTAGGGAACAAGAACTGAAAAACAATGATTTTAGTCTTCCCAACATTTAATTGGATGGGGGCAGGGGTAAATTTCCTCCAATTTGAAGGAGCAACCTGATGAAGAAGTACAGGAGTCACAGGTGATGCTGAGAAAGAGGTGGGTATCTGCTGTGTACAAGGGGAAACTGGTCTTATTTTTGGATGATGCTGTCCACTGATGAGCATACCTGCCCACGCCCTCCAAGATGTTATAACAGAAGGCAGGACAGAAATGTGTGGATTCCAAATTTGGGTGTGGGTTAAAAAAAAAAACAAACTATAGGGGGAAGGCCATCTGGAGATATTACAGTATTGCAATAAAGTCCACACAAAAATATTGACTCCAACATAAGCAAAACAAAAAGTGTCACTTATTCAATTTTACTAATTCCATTTCCTTGAGAATTTTACTCCCAACATTAATATAGTTGAAATTACGTTTAAAACCTAATGTCACAAAGTATAAATTCTTACTCCTGAAGACTGCTCTCATTAGGCAGTTGCTGATGTTACTTACACTATCAACTCAGCCCTCTGCAGCATGCCTGTAGACAGAGATAATGTTTATTTGATACTCTGGACATTTACTCAGGTCAGTTAGGTGGAGTTATAAATGTGCGTAACAAGAACCAAGGTGTACAGTTCTATGGCCAATTAATAATTTTCTAAATATTCAGTGAGCTTCCAGTGATCTTAGGGCGCTTTTGTTTCCCCATGAAGCAACATCTGTCTAATCTAACCTCAAATTTAAAACCTTGGTTTGGGAGGAAAAAGATATTTCTGTGCAACAATCAAAATTAAATCACTTTACCAAACTTGATTGCTAATATTATCTTGTTAAATGTGTAGCTCTCAAACGTAAGAAGTGTTCACTTCACTTGCATTTTTTAATTTTTAAAACCTACCAACTGAAACCTAGAATGGTGGGAACTGTTCATGTGTAAATACAAGTGCGTGAAATCTGTTGTAATACCAATTGAATTGCATTGCCTCCGAGTACTCAGCGGGGAATGCTGGTTTCTTTTCTTTCCCCTCACCTGTGTAAATGATGAGGCATACTGAAGAAAAGAAAAGCTCCACTGTCAGGACTCCAAGAATGAAGTATATCACCAGAGTTTCCAGTTCAAGCTGCATCAGCACAAAAAGTACTAAGAATGTTGCATTTCCTCAAAAAGAAAAAGAACAAGAAAATTAATTGACAATTCTTTCCATAGGATCTTGAAGAGAGATTTGATTTCCAAATATATACCTATTAAGAAATAGAAGAAAAAATTACATGAATTTCAAAGCTGTACTGCATGAGGATATTAAATCAAATCTGAACAAATTACCCAGATAACAAGGTGTAGAGCTGGATGAACACAGCAGGCCAAGCAGCATCATAGGAGCAGAAAGGCTGATGTTTCGGGCCTAGACCCTTCAAC